CTATATTTAGTAAGTAAGTAAGTAAGCTTTATTTATATACCGCCTTTCACAGACCAGAGTCACAAAGCGGTTTACAATTGTTATTTTTTTTTTGCTATTTGCTATATTAGCCTAATATCTAAATGACAAAGGCTACAAATACATAATAAGCATTCATGATTATCAAATGTGTATTTTCACTGCAGCGTGTCCTGGAGAGAAGGACGCACCACGTGACTACTCTGCTTTAACTTTAACTTCCATTTTTTGTCTTCATGCAGAAATACAGTAAAAAAATCTGCTTTTGGCACAGAGTTCATATACCTACATCACAGCACTGTCAGTGCATATCCATCATATCACAGGCTGAAGTTTGCTGGAGCTGAATTAATGTCCTTAATGGTCCTTTCTTTCACCGTCTTTGCGGAGGTTTTTGAAGTCTGAAAGTAGGTGCTCTGAATTTTTGATGAATGAATCCTTCAGTGAACGGTGTTTAGCGCTTCATAGTTCCCTGTGTTGCAACAAAACTTCTCATTACATCATAGACTGAAAGCTAATGTTCACACTTATTCTTAGTAGTAAGTAGTAGTGAGTAATCTTTATTTATATACCGCATTTCACAGACCAGAGTCACAAAGCGGTTTACAATTGTTATTTTGGGCACTTGTCCTCTCACTCCACACAGAGATGGGAGCGGGGTCGCCGAACAGGAGGCGCATGCCAGACCTATTGTGCATGTTTTTAGTGGTAGGGGAAACCGGAGTACCCGGAGGAAACCTACGCAGACACGGGGAGAACATGCAAACTCCACTCAGAAAGGCCCTGGTCCGGGATTTGAACCCAGGACCTTCATGCTGAGGGGCGAGAGTGCTATCCACTCAGCCGGAAATGTGGAAATTGAATATTACTTATGCACATTTTACATCATTTAAAAAATTTTAAGAATGTTTTTCCTCCTACAGAAACCACACAACCACTAGAAATAAAATATAGCCCTCCCACTCCATTTTCAGACATAATTGAAAAGGCTCCAGGAGCCACTCGAGGAGCACTAAAGAGCCGCAGGTTGCCGACCCCTGGTTTATACAGTATGTGGAAGCAAATACTGCAGAGGATCAGGATTTATGTAGTTTCAACAATTGAAATAAAGTGCAATAGTCTACATTACAAGAGGGTAATAAACATGTCTGAGTGAGGGAGGTGGACACAGACAACACTATTGTTTGTTACAGGGATGAGAAAAAAAGTCTGAAATGCATATTGTCAGCCATTGGCTGTTACTAAATCTGTTTAATTTGTTCACAACATTTTACTTTTGGGATCAAACATGAACTTTTAATGCAATGGAAAATGTAGGTACCTGAGCTTTAATTTAGGGCGTTTAGTTGCGCTTCGAGAGGAGAGGAGAGACGCGGCCTGTTTCCTGCAGCGGTGTATTTATTGGGTGCACAGATTACGCAAAGACACGCATGGTCCTGTGCGCGTTTATGGTCTAGGGCAGTGTCTCCCAAAGTGGGGTCCGTGGCCCCCTGGTGGGGGGTACTGCAGGGGGGCCGCGGGAGGTCATAAAAAAAAAATAATAATAATGTAATTATTTAATGTTAAATTTATAATGTTTTGTTTGTAATATTAAAATATTTGTGTTCATTATTTGACTTGAATAATCCACTGTAATCATTTTTGTATTACAATGTTTGTAGCAGAGGCTATTTCCCCAAAATAAAATAACCAGAAGAGCCTATTCTTAATGTTGTCTTCTTGGTTATTATTTTGGGGGGCCACGCAGACCCGTCAGATTTTTAAGGGGGCCTCGGTGTTACTGAGTTTGGGAATGGCTGGTCTAGGGTATATGGTCACGTTGAGGCTACGCGATCACCGTATTGTGTTGTGAGCGGTTCCCGGTGAGCGGATCCCGCGTCCAGCTCAGAGCCGCTGGATGCGGGAAACGCTTATTACAAAGTGGCCGCAGATGGCCCGGAACACTGCGGCCGCTGAGGTGGTGGAATCCCGTATGAGTACCTACAGCAGGTTCCAGCGGACACGCGTGCCCCCCTCGAACATTTCTCAACGGATTTACATTTTTCACAAACACGGTTTTTTGTATGAGGTAGTCAGACCGGCCCAAATATGGGCATCGGCCCTTCGGGCATTACCCAGTACGCCCGATGGCCAGTCCAGCCCTGGTAGCGTCCATGGATCCATAGATCATGTTTCAGTGCTGTGTCACGCCTGTGCGAGGACTAGCATGTGCGGCAGTGGGTACAGAGACTCGATATGCAAAAGCAAGAGATTAACGTTTTCCTCGGGAAGCACGTGCGGCTATCGGAGAGCCGCACGGAGCCGTCACGAGGACACAAGACACTCAAACAGCCAAACTAGGATTAAACCAGGACTAACAATAGAGGACACTGTCTTGTGAACATCCAGCCTGATTTCTCATTCCAGCGTGACTGTAAACAAGGGCTGCTAACTTGTGTTAGCCGACACAACCAATGTATTTATTTAGGTAAAAAAAAACAATCAATAATTATCTATATTGACCGATATGAATAACTTATGGCTGAAAACTATATCACAAAATATCGCCCAGCCCTAATGCAATGCATGAATCGCTCGGAAAACTCGTGAGTTTGTGAATGAATATAGCCTGCTTGTACCACACCATAGTACAAATTACATTTCATACTAAGGTCTGGAGGTGCTCCGTTTACAGGTGGGAGGGGTTAACTCCTTTTGCAGATTGAAACAATAGGGCACTGTCCGGTTTCCGAAATGTGCTAAAAATAGTTCCAATGACTGCGCATGCGCGCATGTTTCGGACAAACTCTGTCCGACTCCGTTGAGTACTACTGTGTTCTCCACATAAGCGTGTGTATTTATTTGGGCTAAATCATTGAATCATGGTGACAACAAAACACTGCAGTTATGGTGCTTGTGGGAGCGATTTCAGATACTCTGAAAAGGACTATATGAAAGCAGTAACATTCAACCTGTTCGTTAAACCACACCATCGAACCAGACCAGGACCAGACCAGGACCAGACCAGGACAAGTGCAAGAGGTGGGTGCTTGTGGTCAGCAGAATTTCTCTCATGAAAATGTTAAAAAGGACATGTTTTTTCAAAACACTTCGCTGGACCAACTGTGGAGCCTCCAGATCCAGTCCTAGCTACGTTTAGCTGGCACTGGACCTGGACCGCTGTATCAGGTCCGTCTGAGCTCTTCTGAATGTAGTTAGCCCCATCAATCCATATTAGTATTGTTTGTCCTAATCCAGAATGTATACAATTCTCACACCTGAAGAAAGATGAGAGGGATTTTTTCAACTTCGTGACTATCGGAAAATAAGCACAGACGAAGCGCGTTGGGGTCCGCTTATTATACGGCTTTGTACCAACTGAACACACAAAATAAACTTCTGTCACTATTCATGCCAAAAGGTTTATTTAATGAGTGCAAAGAAAATAGTTCCCAAAGGTTTTAGTTCACCTACTTTAAAAAAGCGATCGCTTTAGTCGCATTAAAAAAGTATTTTTGTCATGAAAACCTTAACACAGCCATTCCCAAACTCAGTAACACCGTGGCCCCCTTAAAAATCTGACGGGTCTGCGTGGCCCCCCAAAATAATAACCAAGAAGACAAGATTAAGAATAGGCTCTTCTGGTTATTTTATTTTGGGGAAATGGCCTCTGCTACAAACATTGTAATACAAAAATGATTACAGTGGATTATTCAAGTCAAATAATGAACACAAATATTTTAATATTACAAACAAAACATTATTAAATTTAACATTAAATAATTATTTTTATTTTATTTTTTTTGTTATGACCTCCCGCGGCCCCCCTGCAGTACCCTCGCGGCCCACCAGGGGGCCGCGGACCCCACTTTGGGAGACACTGCCTTAACAGATAATTCTGAAAACCTCTGTGCACGTGTGTTGTATGAATATTATATTCTAGCATTAACATTTAAATATGTTGATTGATTGTCGTTTGCGTTTACTGAGTGTGGCTAGCTCCGATAGTTTCTCTCTCAGAGACAGTAGTGGTGTAGCCCGTTGTGACCCCATGGATCTATTATAATATCGGCTGACTGTAGCTAACTAAATGATCAAACTAATTACGAAATGGACAGTACAAAAAACAACTTGATAAATGGAAGTTAATCAGAGCAAAATAAACAAAGAAGGCGCTAACATTGCAATTTAAATGACTAGATAATGTTAGCATAATCCTCACCATTACCTTTTTATCAAATCAAACTTTCTACCAGTTACTGGAAGACCACGACATTCAAGCCAACGTTTTAATTGGTCTACACTATGATCCCTGATGGTTTGATGGTGGAATTTTGCCCCTGGTTTATCATTTTCGTCTAAAGTGACAAGAGGTATTTGATTCATTTTGGCAGTGTTTGTCCGAAACATGTGGGCGGGAGTTGACAGGCGGCGGGGGCGTGTCTTAGTGACGTCATTCAGATAGTTCGCTATTGGATCTAAGTGTACCGTGACGTATGCAGTGCGCCGAGTGAGTCGTTAGCATTTCGCATTTAGCCTAGCCATCTACTTTGCCGCTAACGTAGCCCGTGGGGAGTAGCGCCACAATTTTTCCAGCGATTACATTTGCTAAACATTCCTATTCCGGCTTCAATTTCTTGACAGAACCAGACCGGATTACTTTACTATAGCATTTTTCGCCATTGCCAAACTACGACCTTCCCGTTCGACGCAAGCTCTTGACGTGTCCCACAACTTACTACAACACCTGCCTTCCGCGCTCGCTGGTAGGTTGGTTGAAATTCAACCAATTGTAATCACTAACCCAGGGACCAGGCCCAGACGTTACATACAGTGAAATTATGATTGAGCGGAATGTACCGATGGCTAAGGCCAGGCTAGAATGACAAGGGAAAGTGACTAGAACATTATAGCTGTGAAAAGTCCCTTCCACATGTTCTGTCCTAGCCTGCAGCTGCAGCCCTCCTCACTCTCTCTCTTTCTCTCCTCGTTGTGTTGTCCAGTGCACGGTGCAGGTGAAGCTGGAGTTGGGACACCGGGCACAGCTGAGGAAGAAGATGACCACTGAAGGCTTCACTCATGACTGGATGGTGTTTGTGCGCGGCCCTGAGACCGGAGACATCCAGCACTTTGTAGAGAAGGTTGTATTCCGCCTGCACGAGAGCTTCCCCAAGCCTAAGAGAGGTGAGCCACACTGACAGTCCTGTGCTGGCAGACATATTTCTGAGATTGTCATCGATAACCAAAAAACATTGTCACTCATTGTTAGTGGTTGTGTGAAACTATGTACCTATTGTTCTCTGCTTTCAATTTTAAAATTATGACAAGAAGCTGCTCTTTGACCCTGATCTTAAATCTGGATCCCCATTTCTTAGTCCCTTCTTAGCCCTTAAACCTGTATGACAGCTTTCAGTCTTTTATGGTAGTTGTGGAGGAGGTTCTTTATCTTCTTTTATGGTAAAGCTGTCCATTCTAGTTTGCAAAAAGCCTCTAGTTCTTGTACATTCCTGGGTTGCCTTGTATGAACTGCACATTTGAGATCTCTACAGAGCTTGTGTAATGATTTATCGGTGCTTTATCGGACATACAATGGTTTCACACAACCATACAATAATTAGTATGGTTTCTTTAAATATTTGTTGCTGAAAAATGGGATGTCACAATTTCGATTTAAAAAATAATCAAAAATTACGTCATGGTCTCGTGCATCGAAATCGCTTCACATGTTATTCTTTCACTCCATACACAGTGGGGATAAACTACTACTGTAACCACAGGTGCCCTGGGGCACACTGACAAAAGCGAGGCAACCAGTATGTGCCATCGGTCCCTCCGACCACCACCACCCATTCACACACACACCAGACTCATTCTAGGCAATGTGGGTGTAGTGTATTGCCTAAGGGCACAACGACAGTTTGGCACTTTACAGCCGGAGCCGCCCCACTGTGGACCTGGCTTTTTACATGCAAGTATGTATATTTATAATTAAGCATCAATTAAACAACATTTTTATTCATTCGAGTAATCGATCGGGACATTGGATAGAATACTTGATTACTAAAATATTAGATGGCCGCAGCTCTATCTAGAGTGTGCTGTAAGAAAAACAAAATTGAGAATCAAATGATAACCCTAACATTTAAAATAGAATCAAGGATTTGAAGAATTGTGACATCCCTACTGACTAACCAAAGGCATATTTTTTGGCAATGAACCCATGACTGCCTGCTTTCCTCTATTGATGGCAAACTATATGTCCAACCAAATAATAAAATGGTACATCAGTGAGTGTGTTTCCAAAGCCCTAATGAAAACTGCATCGCCTGTTGTGTACACACAGGTACTCCGGATTCTACTGAGATCGGGCAAGCAGATGCATTTAGGAGTACAGTAAAAAGCCATGGTTATTTTGGAAATAAATGAATTTGGAGTGTAAGGGCCTCTGTTATTTTGATGTGCATTTTGCGGAGTTACTGATTATACATTAATAGATGTAAAACAAATTGCTGCTGCAGTGAGACCTCCCATCTCTGGCGAGGGGGTGTTCAACTGCGAAGGCAGTTGAACTACGTTAAGGCAGTCCTTTGGTAGCAGTCCCCCTGATAAATTCGAATATAATTATTTATATGTGAGGAACTTCATTTGCAGACGGAGCACCAATGGGGATCCATAAAAACGCAGAAACAATACAAATACAATAAAAGCTGGCCTGGGAACGCCTTGGGCACCCCCCCGGATGAGCTGGGGGAAGTGTGTGTGGATACGGAAGTCTGGCCGTCTCTGCTTAGACTGCTACTCCCAAGGACCCGGCAATAGATGAAGCGGAAGAAAATGGATGGGTGGATGGATGGATACTATTTATGAACCATCTTGGACAAAAGTTATTATTGTATTATTTTGTAATCCTAGTTGATGTGAACATTATTGTTAATGTACATCGTCATTTTCTCTGACGTGTGGATGGCGCTGTCGCTAATGGTTCAGCCAAATTGATCTTGGTCAGACATATTCCAGAAAGTGATTCAGGCACCAACTAGGGCTGGGCAATAGAGAAAAAATAAAGCGAGATAGTTTTTTCTCCATATCTCAATATATGGTATATATTAATAATTTTACATGATAAATACCCCCCAAAAACAACTACAAAACAAATTTGCAAAGCCTTTGCATTTCCAAAGCCTTAATTGTTGTTTTTCTTCTCTATTGCAATTCATGTAGGAAGAAAGGGCTTTAAGGGTTTTAATTTCCTGGTGGTTAATATCCACAACAGAATAACAGAGAGGGGAGAAAGGTCACATGTGCTAGAGGTGATGTTGCGAAGACTGCGGCGGAGGGAATATACGAGAGGGCAGCTGAGAACAGTGAGGGCGAGTCGCAAGATATGCCCTCCACCTCGAAATGAAGGAAATACAGAGGGGAATTTTTTGGGAAATGTTCACTGTTGGCACTGATTATGCACATACACACGAACAATAAAATGTAACTTTGTGTGCTTTGAGAGTTGAGGCTGGGCAGAAAAGAAGCATGATTAGAGATACATTTTGAACAGATTGTATGAGGCCAGCTCTCTGATGCTTCTGGGTACTGTGTTCCACTCTTGAGATGCCCTCACAGAGAAGGCACTCCAGAGTGGGACTAAAGTCCCTGCGCACGGCCCCCTTGGTTATCCTGTGTTTGTGTGGTGTTTTTGACAGTAAGAAATTGGTTGAGTGGTAGTGGATGAACCATGAATGACCTTGTAGATGACAGAGATTTGAGTATTTGATGACATTTTCCCAATTCAGATGGTGAAAAACTTGAATGATTCTATTGCTTTTAGTGTTGTTTTGTTTGCCTGTAACCATGGGGTTTAGCAGTAAGTTATGTGTGACAGAACCATTGAGAACATGAATAATATTGCTGACTGAAGTGATAAAATTGGATCTAATGAACCGGAAATTAGCTATGTTGAATTTGACTTTATTGGAAATGTTTTTAACGTGAGATTTGAATGATAGTTTTGAGTCTGTTTTTGCTCAAAAATATTTCTAAATGTTATCTTCTGTGCTCTGTTGTGCAGTGTGTAAAGAGCCGCCATACAAAGTGGAGGAGTCGGGCTACGCAGGCTTCCTCATGCCCATCGAGGTCTACTTCAAGAACAAGGTGAGATTCAAAACTTTGTCTTTTGGCATTACCCCTGTTCAATGATTGGCATATTTCACAATGTGGGGCCAGTGGTGGGCAGGCGTCATTCCAATGAGTCAAACAATTAAATTCCTCATGCCACTGAGTCTTTACTTTTATTTGTTGTGCGTATTACGGGTTGTGTGTATCAACCAATAGTCTGGATCAGTGGGTTTGCGCCCTGCTCCTTCTCCCTCTCTTCCCTCAATCCGCTCAGCCTACACGGGTCGATGGAACGCTGACTTTTCAGAGTGTCACCTGTAAATGCATACAACTTTTACCAATTAAGTGCATATTTCCGGTGTCACATGCCATACTTGCATGCGAAAGCCAGATCCCGTCAGACCTCAGAAATAACGTAGGGCAGGGCCTGGGTATTACTGTGATGAGAGACCTTTTGGAACACCCGGTGCCACAGGGTGGCGGCTGCGGCTGTGGCTGTGAAGTGCCAACTGTCGTTATGTCCTTAGGCAAGACACTTCGCCCACATTGCCTTGAATGATTCTGATGTGTGTGTGTGAATGGGTGGTGTTAGTCAGAGGGGCCAATGGCACAAACTGGTTTCCTCGCTTCTGCCATGTGCCCCAGGGTAGCTGTGGCTACAGTAGTAGTTTATCACCACCGTGTATGGAGTGAATGATTAATACCTTTTTGAAGCGTCTTTGGATGTGCTGAGAAGTGCTACATGGGTGTGTTCACAGTGAAGTGTCAATTCAAGTGTCTGGATTTAAAAAAATAAAAGGTCATCAGTGAGAGTAATGAACTCCCACAAGATTAACAGGGCTAACACAAGTAAATCACTTCATTTAAAAATGAATCATGAAAAATAATACATGAAAATGTTAAAATGTCAGAAAAGTGTATTTTCCCGAAAAAAAAATTCTAAAAAATTAAACTTGAGAAAAAACAATTCTATCAAAATCTGGTATCACATTTAATTGGTTTACTAAATGAAAATAATCACTTAGTTTCTATATTAAGGTGGCATTACCAGAGGTGTGGACTCGAGTCATGTGACTTGGACTCGAGTCAGACTCGAGTCATGATTTTGATGACTTTAGACTCGACTTGACCAAATGTAAAAAGACTTGCAACTCGACTTGGACTTTAACATCAATGACTCTGACTTTCACTTGGACTTGCGCCAATTGACTTGTAAAGACTTGCGTAACCCGGGCCATTTTTACCTTTCTCCGCATCTCTCTTTCTATCTATGCCGTCTCTGAAGAAACAAAGCCTCGCGGTAGTTGTAGCGCTCGCGAGAGAGTTCGAACGTGAGTTCCCCGCAGTTCGCGCTGCAACACTTCCCTAAACAAGCGGACTGCATTCACCGGTGGGTGTGTTGTCGTAGGGGAGCTGGAAATGAGCGAGCTGCAGGTATTTATCGCGACCTAACGTCATATTTTGTTCTACAAACCGTAATTGATATGCTTTCACTACAGGCGCCTCATACAATTGAATCGACGCAGTTGTCACACTGTGTGCCGTGTTTTAAAGAGGAACTGGTGAGTCAAACTAGCGCTAGCCTGCGCTGCTCTGTTGGCTCTTTCTTATATTTTTCTGTGTGGGCGCCGAGGCCTATTATTATGAGTATGTTTTTGCTGTGCTCCTCCTGCTAAAGTTTGCATACATTAGATAATTGTTTTGATTATGTGCACTAAGCTAGATTAATATTTGCACTATTGTTTATGGTGCATTGATATGAGAATCAGTGCTTTGACTGATTGAATTAATTTATATGAGACATTTTATTATGTACTGATATATTGGTAATTATGAGATATTACTAATGCTGGTCCAGTTCATACAGGCCAGGGTCCTTCCCCTCCATTGGTCCCTTCAGTCCTTTGGAACAATAACCACTACGGACATTAAACTGATTATATAGATACAGGTCCTAGCCCAATACTCATATTCATATATGCTGCACTTGCTACTTCCCATTAAAAACCCCAAAGATAAAAAGTATGTTGACACGGACTGCTCTGATTTTATGTGTGGTCTGTGCATGTGTAACTGAGCCTGCATCTGGCACAACATCCAATTAGATCACGTAGATAGTTTTGATTTACCAGCAGCCAACGACATGGAACAAACTGTTAGTCCATGGGTCAGAGACCAACGAGAATGCACCAGCAAAATGATTCCTAACATTATTTTGTTTGCCTACAAAAGTACGTGGAGACCAACAAGAAACAAATCGCGGTCAAAAAGACTCGAGAGGACTCTAAAGTCAAACCGTAGGACTTGGGACTGACTTGAGATTTGTTGTCCTTTGACTTGGACTCGACTCGGGACTTGCCTGTCTTGACTCGTGACTTGACTCGGGACTTGAGGGCAATGAATTGAGACTGACTTGTGACTTGCTAAACAATGACTTTGTCCCACCTCTGGGCATTCCCCCCTGGACTGCCACCTTAACGTGGTGGGGGAGTTTGAGTACTCGGATGATCCTGGGAGCAATGCTGTCTGGGGCTTCCTGCCCCTGGTAGGGTCTCCCATGGCAGACAGGTCTCAGGTGACGAGTCAGATGAAGAGCGGTCCAAAAACCACCATGGATCGCACTATAACAAGAGTAGTGACGTCGCCCGGCATGGTGCAGCCGGGGCCCCACCCTGGAGCCAGGCCTGGGGTTGGGGCTCGAATGCGAGCGCCTGGTGGCCGGGCTCAGCCCGAAGGGATGACGTGGGCAGTCCCTCCTGTGGGCCCACCACCCGCAGAGGCGTCCGTGGTGATCGGGTGCTGAGAGGACTGGGCAGCGGTCGAAGGCGGAGACCTCGGCGACCCAGTCACACTCAACATCTGGCTCTTGGGACGTGGAACGTCACCTCACTGGGGGGGAAGGAGCCCAAGCTTGTAGGGAAGGTTGAGCGATACCGACTAGAGATAGTCGGCCTCACCTCCACACACAGCTTGGGCTCTGGAACCCAACTCCTTGAGAGGGGTTGGACGCTCCACTTTTCTGATGTTTCCCACGGGGAGAGGCAGCGAGCTGGGGTGGCCATTCTCATTGCCCCCCATCTCAGCCGCCCCGTGTTGGAGTTCTTCCCGGTGAATGAGAGGGTCGCGTACCTCCGCCTCTGGGTGGGGGAAAAGTCTCTCATTGTTGTGACGGCCTACGGGCCTAAGGGCGGCAGTAGCTCAGTTGGTAGAGCGTTGGCCTTTGAGCCAGAAGGTCGTGGGTTCAAGCCCCGCTCAAGACTTTCACCATCGACTCCCACTGACTACTGTCGTTGTGTCCTTGGCAAGACACTTAACCTCTGGGAACACCAGCCACAGTGGGGCGGCTGCGGCTGTAAAGTGCCAAACTGCCGTTGTGTCCTTAGGCAAGACACTTCACCCCCATTGCCTAGAATGAGTCTGGTGTGTGTGTGAATGGTTGGTGGTGGTCAGAGGGGCCGATGGCACATACTGGTTGCCTCGCTTCTGTCAGTGTGCCCCAGGGCAGCTGTGGCTACATTAGTAGTTTATCACCACCGGTATGGAGTGAATGAATAATGACACATGTGAAGCGTCTTTGAGTGTCCAAAAAAGCGCTATATAAAACCGATGCATTATTATTATTATTAACAGCAGTGTAGTGTACCCGGCCTTCTTGGAGTCCCTGTGAGGGGTACTGGACGATGCACCAACCGGGACTTCGTTATTCTCCCGGGGGATTTCAACGCCCATGTGGGAAATGCCAGGACACTTGGAGAGTGACACTGCACCCGAGCGGTGTTCAGTTGCTGGACTTCTGTGCTACTCAGTTTGTCCATCACAAACACCTTGTTCGAGCACAAGGGTGTCCACCAGTGCACGTGGCACCAGGACACCCTCTGCCTCAGCTGTTAATGATGTAATACAAACCTGCGCTGCGCATCTCACGGCAGCCAAAGCAAACCAAGATGGCGGACATGTAGTCCGCGAATTGCTTTAAAAGTTGAAATACGAACGAATTGAGACACAAACTTTTAGTGATATGTGGGTTTTAAGAATAAGAGTTTTGTGTAAAGTTTGTTTAAAGCAGTCCACTGCTCCGTCTGACTTGCGCATGCGCAGAAACCCGACAGAATGGGGAAAAACTCGATCTAATTAAATATTTCGTTTGAACACACTATTGTTAATCATATTGAATACAATATGATACATGCATTAAATTCAATTTATTTCCATTATCAACCCGACAGTCCAGTCACAGGACGCGTCATGGGCCTACGTCAGTAAAATGACGTATGCAGCAGTCAACTCAGGGACTGCTATCACGCAGCAGCAGAGTAGTTCTTACCAGGTCTTACCTGGAGGATAGGAAGTACTCTGTGGAGATTGGAGACTGCGTCTCAGATGATGTGGCCCTGACCTGTGGTGTACCACAGGGGTCGATCCTGGGACCTCTCCTATTTAATCTCTACATGCTGCCGTTAGGTCAGTTAATACAAAGAAACAAAGTGTCCTACCACAATTACGCTGACGACACTCAGATCTATGTCTCACTGACTGCAGGAGAACATGGACCACTGGATTTGCTCCTTCACTGTATCCAACAGATCAGTGACTGGATGCAAAATAATTTCCTCCAGCTAAATGCAGACAAAACCGAAATCATTGTCTTTGGTCCCCAGAAACAAAGAGAGGGCGTCATTTGTCAACTTCAGTCTCTCTCCCTACTTCCTTCAGACAAGGTCAGAAATTTGGGGGTAATACTGGACTCAGACCTAAATTTCAATAGCCACATAAAATCAATAACATCAACAGCTTTTTACCATCTGAAGAACATTGCCAAAGTTAGAAATATAGTGTCCAGGGCAGACTTGGAGATTCTTGTCCATGCATTTGTCTCCAGCAGGCTAGACTACTGCAATGGCCTGCTTACAGGTCTGTCCAAACAGACCTGTAAGCAGCTGCAGTACATCCAAAATGCAGCAGCTAGAGTCCTGACAGGAACCAGGAAGTATGACCATATTAGTCCGGTCCTCAGGTCTCTGCACTGGCTTCCTGTG